TAAAATCAAGTTTAATATCATTATCAATACGAGGCATCTTTTTTATCCTATGAAATTTATCTATAACAATGTTTAAAATTGTTCAACAAAAAAAAAACATAACAGTTTTATAGATTTAAATTTAAAAAAAAACCAAAAAATTCTTAGAATGAATTTTTCGACATACAAAAAAATTTTGTATGTAGAATTTTTTATTTTTCCAAAACAAATGGTATTGGTGGCCATATAGATCTAACTTGTGCATGTAATGATTCTGGTAACCAATTACAATAAACATCAAGTAGATCTAAAAAAAACAAGAAAGATTTAAAATTCAATAATTTTTTTAAATTTAATTTTCTTACATTTTGGTTCAATTGACCAAATTTCTTTTAATTTTGTTCGATTATCAATTTCTTTTATTACTAATGCATTAAGAAATAATTGTGTTCGTTCCATAAGTGATGCCCATGATTTAACCATAGCATTTGATGAACATAATAAAGTTGAACGAAATTGTAAAAGACGAGGACAAATAATACCATCAAGAAAATATTTTCCAAACCAACGATAACGATCATTTGTATTAGTTGGAAATATTGTTTCAATTGATGAACCAAGTGACCATGATACTCGTTGACCTATTGTTGCTTTACGATGACAAAGCATTTTATCTTGATTTTCATCATAACGTGGTTGAGGATCATCTTCAATAGGACCAAATGAACATAAATGTGGATTTAATTGAACAATCCAATCCATTTGAATAGCACAAATATCTAAATAAACATGAATAAATTCATTTATTAGAAATATCATTTTGAAAAAATTAAAACACAATGTGTATGTCGAGAACTTGTTTGCCAGAGTGATTAATATCAATGTTTCTGAGTTTATCGAGACATAAAGTGATGGAGAAAAGTTTAGAAACAATGATTTTTTTTGGTTTTTTTCATAATGTTAAGCACGTAGCTCTAATCCAAATAGTGATTTTAATAGCCAATGAGGTTTTCTATTCAATACATTTTATTACAAAATTTCACAGATGAATAATGATGGCAAGGTTCCTAAAAAACCGAACATGGTATTTTTCAGGTTCTAGAAGACTTTGCCAGAGCTATTTTTGAACGGTACTATCTTAAAGAGCACAAAATTCTGAACAAAATGAGGGATTGTTGAGTTTTCTACGAATTTCTCGTAAAAAGTTACAAGTATCACAAAAAGTATGAAAAAACGAAATTTTTTTAAAAATCGACTAAAAACGTCTTTTTAATAATTTTTGTGATGCTTGTAACTTTTTACGAGAAATTCGTAGAAAACTCGGCGATCCCTTATTTTGTTCAGAATTTTGTGCTTTTTAAGATGGCATCGTTCAAAAATAGCTTTGGAAATGTCTTCTAGAACCTGAAAAATACCGTATTCGGTTTTTTAAGAACCTTGCCATCATTGTTCATCTGTAAAATCTTACTATAAAGTGTATTGGATAGAAAACTCCATTGGCTATTAAAATAACTATTTGGATTAGAGCTACGTGCTCAACATTAAGAAAAAAACCAAAAAAATCTTTATTTCTAAACTCTTTTCTACCACTTTATAATTGTGCCTTGAGGTCTACTTCAGATCTAGTGTATGTGTACTACCGGCTTATTTGTCAGTTAAATCAATAGTTAGAATTAAGTAGAACACTAGTAAATGTTTTCCTGCTGATCGATTGTTCTTGGAAAACAACTAAAGTCTACTAGAAATTTTTCACTTGATGCATTTTGTATTAGTATAGTGTGGGTAAAGAAAACAGATGAGTTTAATATTTTCTCTCTAAGGAGTCTATGATAACAAGCTTGTTTTTATAAGAAAAAAAAAAGTACCTTTGATAAATATTCGATTTGTTTCATGTACTTCTTGATAACAAATAAATGATGGTAAATCATTAATAAGAACTGATGATGGATGAATAAATACCGGTTCATCAAGTAGAAGAGTCTAAAATCAAAGTATTTAATTTATTGAAATTATATTTTGTTTTTGTATTGTATTTAAATAACCTGATAAGCATTATTTGCTTTATGACCATTAATTATAACAGATCCTTCGATTCGTCTATTAAAAAAGTCAAAATTTTATTAATCATAAACAAAAATCGAATATATGAATTTACTTGGCTAAACGATCGACCATACCAGCTGCAAGTACTTTACGTAATAGACATATTTGTTGTTCGCTTGGTGGTAAAAGACGAGCATCAAGTATTGATGCTGTTTCTGGTAATATTGATTTCACTAAAAGAAAGTATTTTTTTATCGCCTTAGTATTATTTCTTTATATTCTCTTTCTTTCTTTCTTTCTTGAAGGAAAATACTTATGTTTACCAAATCAGATATTTTCTGCCAATCGAATACTCACATGTATCATAAATAACATTCTTGTTTTTTCCTGTCTCGGGAATAATAAATCGATAAGGGATGGAAAAATAACGGAGATTTTTTTTCCTAGGGAAAACTTCAAAGATTTTTCTATAATGATTGAATAATTATAGTAAAATAAAGAAAAATTATTATAAAGAAAGAAAGCTGATAAACATGTGAAGAAAGTTTTAAGAGGAAGCTCAGCCCTTTGAGCGTATCTCTATATGGGACTCAAGCCCCTTTTTTTAACACAATTCGACCGTTAATAGAGGGCTCGAAGCTTTCTAGGGGACCGAAATCTCCTCTAGTCCCTGTCCTTTAGTAGTACTGGCTCCTCATAGCATAAAAACGTCCATATGACAAACTTCAATATAAGGACACCGACAAATGTGAAGATGTTTACTTCAATCTAATCCACTTACGAACACATGTTTATATCTATATGGATGATGGAGAAAGGAGGAAACCCAATCATGTGTCTCGATCATAAGATGAGAGAAGAGTCACATTTATCGAGAATGATTAAAAGATTGATAGCACGAATCGGATAAAGATGATGATGTTACATTTCATTACAGTCCGTATAATGAAAACAAAAAAACATATAGCTTCGTTGGTAGTAGCGAAGCCTAAAACATTAGCGCTCCTCTTGTTTCTGAGGAGTGAATAGTGACAGGTGACGTCCTCATTACGTATGCTATATTTGCAAATAATCAGTAGAGTAGTTAACGGCGAGACAAGCTCCGTCATTATCCGCTGATCTTACTGATAGAGAGCTGCGGATCCACATTTTTGTGGACCCGGCTACGGTCGGGCCTAGCCTCAGTCAAGTCCAAATTCTAGGTTTTTCCTATCAATACCTGGTGCCTTTCGTGTACATGACCAAGTAAAGAATCAAGGTTTTAGTTATTTATTCGTTATTCTCAGAACCTGACAAGAAATAAAAGGTTGGATTCGAATCCGGAAGGATCCGCAGCTCCCTACTTACTGCTAATGGTATATTTCTAACTAATATTCTCGAAAAATTTTATAAAAATGTTTTACCAATTTGTATTAATTGTCGACGAATTTTACGAATTTCAGTCATAGCTTTTGGTCGTAATCCATAATGCATACAAATAGATAGATCATTTTTGGAATTTTGATGATCTAATGCACCAACTGCTTTAAGTAAAACCATCATATCACCAAGTAAAAGTGATTCACCCTATGAACAAAATAAATATCTCTGATTTAATAATATAAAATAAATACTTGTCCGATCCATTGTCGTCTTAAATCATCTAAATTAATATTAATTTCTTGATTATTCTATTTAAAAAAAATATATATATATATTTTACATAAATAAAAATTTAAATGATTATACTTTTTGAATTTTAACTTGTCCACTATTTAATACTTCATTAACACTAAGTGCTGCAACAAGTGTAATAACATATGGTAATAAATCTTGATTTTCTTGAGCAATAACAAGCATTTTTGAATATCTTGGATTAATTGGAAATGCTGACATTCGACGACCTAATTCAGTAATTTTTTTTGTTGATGATTTATTATCTAATGCATTTAATTGAATAAGAATTTGTTCAGCAACATTAATTGCTTTTAAATCAGGTGATGTTGGAAATGGAAAATTAGCAAGACGATCAATATTTAATGTTTTTAATTGTAAAACAAGATCTTCAACAGGTTTTCGAACAATTTCTGGTGATGTATATTCCGAAAATAAATCATTATATACAGCTGATGAATAAAGTCGATAACCTATAAAGAAAAAATAAAAGCGATTAAACAGTTAGGAATCTTTTCTTATAAGCATAGACTTCAGAACTTTAAAAAATAATACATTTTATAGAGCAGACTTTCGTTTATCAAATGAGATCTTACAACATTCTTTTTAGAGTATGTTTCATAAAAAAAAAAAAAAGAAGAATACATACAATGACCAGGTGCTGTACGACCAGCACGACCTGTTCGTTGATTAGCTGATGCTTTTGATGTCCATTCAATACGAAATGTTGATACACCAGTTAATTTATCATAATATTTTGTTTTAACCTAAAGAAATCAATCAAAAAAAAAATTTTGTCTTTTATTTTATATTAATTATACTTTGCCACAATCGACTATATATTTTACACTTGATATTGTAATGGATGTTTCAGCAACATTTGTTGCTACAACACATAAACGTGTACCAGGTGGTGGAGGTTTGAATACCTAAAGAAAAAAAAAATTTATTTTGTATATAAAGTATACAACAAAAAAAAACAAGAAATCATACACGAGCTTGTTTTTCTGATGAAAGTATTGCATAAAGTGGAAGAACATAAAGTGGTTCAATAGATATTTCTTTTACATTAATATCTGCATCATCATCATCATCAAGATCACTTGTTATTGAACATTCTTTATCTTTTTCTTCATCTTCTTCAATATCCGATTGTAAATGTTCAAGTTCTTCATCATCAATAATATCTAATGAAGATTTATCGACGATTGTTTTTGTTTGTATTTTCTTTTTCGATTTTTTTGATTTAAAATGTGGTTCATCTAAATATCAGACATATATTAGAGAAACATGGAAAATAAAAAAAAAACATGAATTCTCAGACTATTTTTAATATATACCATAGAAATAAAAATTGCCTTTTGTATAAATAAATAATGATCTTAAAGTCTGTTTTTTTTTTGTATATGAATTACTTCCCAGTTAATAATAAAGTTCTCTGGTCAATGTTAAAGGATATGTTTTTCTGACATATTTTAGTATTAATATGTGTAACATAAAAGGAACCTCGAATGTATATAACATACGATGCAAAAATAAAGAGAAGAAAATGTCGACATTTGTTTCTTCTTTACGAATATGTGCTAAAAGAAAAATGTTTTTTTCTTGTTCGAACAGTCGCTTATGTTTTATTTTTGTCGCATATTTGTAAATAATTATTAAAGCAAGAAAAAGAAAAGAAAGAGAAGGATGTAGATGTTTCTTACTGAGACATATACCCAATGGAATATAATACTCATTAGAAATATATTCAAAACAAATTTTACCATCATTTTCTGTTTGTATTTTTATAGGAAATTTTTTTTTTAATTGATAACATAATGTTTTAACTTCTTGTTGACCAGTAACAAAAATAAGAATACCACCGGATGGTAATTGTCGATGAATTTTACAAATTTTTTTATAAGCTTCATTAATATAATTTTTTGGTGTTTGTTTATTAAAATGTATTGTAACTGGATATTGTCTTGCATCAATATTAATAATTTTTGGTTTTAATTTAAATAAATATTTATTATTAATAAATTCTTCAATACGCATTGTTGCTGACATAATAACAAGACGAAGTGGATCATTACGTCGACAACGTATTGGTACAATACGTGATAATAAACCAATTAAAACATCTGTTGCAATACTACGTTCATGTGCTTCATCGATCAATATACAACTATAATTTGTTAATAAAAAATCATTTTGTATTTCTTTTAATAAAACACCATCAGTCATAAATTTAATACATGTTGTTTCTTTTTTATATGTACCTTCATAACGTATTTGATATGAAACTTGACTACAAAAAGATGCACAAAATAATTTAAAACAAAAAATAGAAAAGAACTAACTCATTTGTTAAATTTAATTCATATGCAACACGTGATGCCATTGATATAGCAGCAACACGTCGTGGTTCAGTTATACCAATCATTTTACCATCAAGAGTATAACCAGCTTCATAAAGAAATTGAGGTAATTGAGTTGTTTTACCACTACCTTAATAGAATGAAACAAAAAAAAAAAAGAAATATTAAAACTGAAATAAATACATGAGAACATAGGCCGAGATCTGAGATCTTTAATAAACGATATGATAACATCTTTCAAAACAGATAGGACTCATTGTCGTCTCCTACACTCTAAAAAAAGTATTCTAGGAAACCGAGGTTTCCGAGCCCTCGAAAAGCTTTTTCGGTCGGTTTCCAGGAATACTTTTGTTTTAGAGTGTAGAGTAGCTTTTTTTCCCTGTATGAAATGCCCGGTATATTAATGATATTTTCGCAATAGTCAAAGATTCTATTAATAAATTTTTATATATTATCAATAATCAGCATAGCATTCCTGGTATAAATAACTTTGTTTTATAAACGAAAATTATTTCTTTTTCAAATTATTATTTTGAGTATCTAGGTTTGATTTATGTATGAAACTCTAGAAGAATTTTAAAAATAAATTTTTTCATATTCCCGTGAATCCGGACACGAAAAATTTTTTTTTTCCGTTTATAAAAGAATTATTTATATCAGGAATATTGTACTGATTATTAGTGCATAAAAATTGTTAATATACCGGTCTTGGATGCACCATAGATTACTCTACAAAATCATATATACGGTATCCTGATTCAAGATAGATCATCAAATCCGACGGAGCCTTTTCATACGATTCGAATGTACAGAACTCAAGATCAATTTTTCAGGGCATGGGAATGATCTTAATAGAAAAATCTTTACCAGTTTCTCCACAAATAAGAACAACAAGATTATCATGAATAGCTTCCATGATAGCCTGTTCTTCAGTAATAATTGGTAATTGTGAACGTATTGCTTGAATTTCTTCACTACGTTCAACTTGAACATTTGCATGTGGTCGAGCTGGAATATCGACTTTAGTTTCTTCGACACTACTTGTACTACTTTGACGTTGTCGTCGTTTGATGGGAGGTGGAGGAATAGGTGTTGTTGTTGTTGGTTGAGAAGGAAGTAAAGCTTTACGAATATCTTCATCATTAATAGTTTCATCATCATCATTTGAACTTGATTCTGAATCACTGAAAAAAAAAATTAACTTATTATAAATGAAGATTTATAAACTAACTTTTGAATTATTTCTGTAGATACTTGAGCTGGACGTTTTCTAGAACGTTGATTAAAATTAATTGAAGTAGAAGAATTTGTTGTTGAAACTTGAATATCAATCGGTTGACTGAATAAAAATAATAAAAATAAAAATAATGTTTTAGATTTTAAAATTACCGTTTTGTTTTGCTACCAATATTTTTTACTGAATGAAGAAGAGCTAATTCATCATTAGAAATTTGTATTTGTCCTAATTTATCAAGTAATTCAACTCGCTATAACAAAAAAAAAAAAAAAAAACCCTAACATTAATATGAAATTGTAAATTTCTATTTGATTACTTTAGCTTTTTTCTTTTTAACATCGAGTACTTTTTCCAGACGTTTACGTTCTTTTTTTGATAATTTACGTTTGCTAGGTGTTGTTATTTGACTAACAGAATGAGTTTTTCGTTTTTTTGATGGTAAAATTGAATTATTGTCAGCTGTTGTTGACTCTCCTTCAACAATCACCTGATTGAAATAAAAAATTGTATGCAAAAAAAAAAATAAAAATAAAAATACATTTGCTGATGGATTTTGTTCAATAACAATTTTTTTTTGTTGACGACCTTTTTTATTAAAACGACGTATTAAACGAGATGGTTTCATCTATAAATTAAATATGTCTATGCCACATGCTAAAATATCTTGAATTTTATAATCTTTTTTGTTTTATCTTTTGAAAAACATAAATCAAACACAAAGATATATTTACATAAAAATATATATGATGAAAGAACAAAAACGAAAAATTATCAATGAAAAAAAAAAACAAACATAGATGAAAATGAAAAAGAAGAAAAACAGAGGTGCAATTAAAACATAGGAATGAAATAATACAAATTATTGTTTATTATCATCATCTGACATGTTGTTATTGATTGATCAATAAGGAAGGCATATAATGCAAAAAAAAAAAAATGTTTTTGTTTGTTTGTTTGTTTTTTTTATCTATGGTTTTTTCACTGTATTTTCTGTTGCTTGAGCAATTGTTAATACTTTTTCACCAGCTCCTTTTGTTAATATTGTTGTAGGTGTTGTCTTTGGTGGAGAACCAGATGTTGATCCTTTGCCTTTAGATTTTTGTCGTGCGAGCATTTCTTCAACATGTTGACGCATTTCATTTTCTAATGAATCTATTATTGGTTCTTTACGCCAAAATGTAAATGATGAATAAGATTCACTTGCAGAAAATGAATCCATTGGAGGAAATACTTGATCAACTACTTCATGTAAATTTTTATATCTTTAAAGAGAAACAAAAAAAAAAAACAATTTTCAAAAAACAAAAAAAAGATATTTTAATACATACGAAGTACATAATACTTGTGATAATTTTTGTCGGACAACTTCACCACGAGGATTTATTGTAAATATACGAGTCTCTGGTATTCCAACAGCTGTGTATGCCCATTGATCCTTTAAAAAGATTTACAAAAATAATAGTAAAATGTTCATTTGTTTTTCTGTCATCTCTATGAGCTAATGTTTGAAACGATTGAAAATTATTTTTATTTTCATCTATTTAGAATTTTAATTAAAACTGACTCAAAAAATTAATTTTAATACAGTTTTAATAGTTCATAGAAAATCTATCTATATTCTGATTCTTAAAGATTTTACAATAACTTTGAAAATTCTTACATTCAATCGATTACCAAAACCGGCATAAAATGGATTTTTATCTGGAAATAAACTTGCAATATTTTTTAAACATTCAATTTTAAAATCTTCGGGTGTTCTCGCTATTACTTCTCTATAAAAATAAAAGAAAATTAATTATTTATTATAAAAAAAATTTTCATTTCAATACCTATAAAGTGCAGTTACTAATGTATCAGGTGAAATAAGTAATGGACCAATGGGTAATGCAAAACCACATTGTTTAATACTGCGTAAAAAATTTCTTGTTACTCGACTTTGTCCAATAGCACGAGCAGATAAATAAATAAATTGATAACCATTTTCTTGAATAGCTTGAAAAAATTCTGCAATACCATCATGTGACCAATCTTTACCAAATAATGGAAAAATATGACCAAAGACATCCGATCTTAAGTAAACAGAAGTTTTTTTTTTTTTTTTTTAAATTCTTTTTTTTTTTGTTTTGTAATAGAAATTTACTTTGTTATAGTACCATCAATATCTGATATAACAAATTTTGTGTTATAATCAAAAAAGAAGATATTTGCTTCCACTATAGTTGTACCTTGTAAAGCTGTTGTAACACTAAATTCAACCTGATTTCTACCACTTTTAAGATTAAGTTGTTTTAATTGATCCGATGTAAGAATCATGGTTTTCTTTTTTGTTGAAATTGATTGTTGACTTTCCATTTTATGGGTTAATTTTCTTACTTCATGATCTGCTTGTTCAGTATCAATACTATGAAAAAAAAAATATATAAACAAACTGAGATCAACCAAAAAAAAACGTAACTTACGAATTCTTTCGATTAGAATTTTGATTTTGTAATATAGTTGGAAAAATTTCGGATTTTACAACTAAAGCCAATGCTTCTGCTCCTGCTGATGAAGTAGTTTCAGTTTTTGTATTAGACTATTAAAAATAGACATAGAGAAATTTTTCTAATATGCAATTTTATTTTTACATTTTTGCCAGAAAATGGCCACAAACTAATACCACCTGTTGTACGTGGTGTAGTTGGTATCATATGTTTTTTTTGTAATTGTTCAACAATTTCAGGTGGTAATTGTTTATGATAGACACTAGCCGAAGCAATAAGTGCTGAAGCTACATTCCAATTATGATATCTAGAAAATTGATTATTTAAAAAATACTCTTTTTTGTTTTTATTTTTGTATTTAATTTACATACTTTCCACCAATACGTACAACTAAATTTGGATCATTGATGATTGATGGATTATTAGCAAATTTTTCATATGAAATAAGATGTGCATAAAATAAATCATCTGTTATCAATGATGGTTTATCCAAATTTCCACATAATGAAAGTTGTACATCACCGAGAAGATAACTAAAAAAAAAACAATGAAAATTTATCAAAAAAAACATCTATACATTTCATTTTTGATATTCGAAACAAAAATGAAAAAAAGAAAATTTTCAACATACGAAGTTTCATATTCCCGAATTGGAGAATGTGGTATTGAATTGCCTGTACCTGATTCTTGATCATCATCATTTGGAGTTCTTGGTTGATTAAGATTATAATCCCTAATTTAATTAAATATTTTATTTTGTATGAAAATAAAATAAAAAAAAAAACATACATTTGAGGTAAATAACGTGAACGATCATCACATTTATTATTTGTTATATCATCAAGATACATTCCTTCTTTAGGTGTCTTTTGTTTTGATGATGATGATGATGATGATGGCCATAAATATCTAAATACACTTCGTCTTTGTTCAGGAAATTCACCCCATTTCCATTGCCATACAGAATTTGTTCGATTATTTCTTACCGATTGTTGTGATGATTTATCTAATTCATACTCTGTATCAGATTGTGGACTTGGTGGTCGAAGAACCATAGAACTTAAAGATAAAAATATTATATTATTTTTTTAAAATAAAATAAAATTATTTACTTTTCATATGAAGTTGCCGGTGAATAACTTTCATTTAAATAAAATGATGCTGAATCAGTTGATTGAGTCATTCGAATTGGAATAGTATTATCATTAATTGTTATTGGTGCTGATTGAGAAAAAATTGTATTAATTAATGAATTTGATTCATCTGTAGTTGGTGTTATATCATTTATTATTGATTTTTGTTCAATTGGTATTGGATTTGATAATGTTCTTATATTTCTATCAGAATTATCATTATTATTATCATCTTCTAAACTACTACTATAACTTTCATCATCATCATCAATATCATTAGATGTTCTTGGTGGAATAATTAATAATTTTTTTCGACTATCAATACTATTCATTCGACTATGTGCATCAACAAATGGTGGAGATGATGTTGATTCTTTTTCATCACCATCAATTTCAAATAGAAGTAAATCATTTTCACTTGCACTATGTCGACGTGAAAGTTTTAATGGTAAACCAATTTGTTTATTATTTTTATGATTTGTTAATTTATCATTCATAGATATTGATGTTGAAGTACGTCGACGTAAACGTGATGAATTTGAATTTGATGAAAATATTTTTTCAACTTCTTGATCTTCATCATGATTTAAATCTTTATGAATTTGTTCCATACGATTTATTGTTCGTCGTCTTTGCTGATGACGATTTGATATAATTACATTAGAATTTAATACATCAACATTAATAGATGATATTGATGGTTGTTCATAAGCATATTTTGGTACTGATGATTCATTATTTTCATGTGCTTTTTCTTCATCAAGTTGTTTATTAATAATTTGTGGTGTACAATCAATAATTGATAATTGAGGATGAGAATTTGTTAATATAGCACCATCAGGATCAAGAAATATACTGCTATCCGATGGTTCTAAATGACGATTTGGTGAAAGATTTTGTGTAGTCTAAAAATTGAATTTTAATTTATTTTTTTTTAAATTAAAAAAACAAAGCAAAAAAAGATTTTATTTACAGTTTCTTCCTCGATAAATAGAGCTTCTCCAGCTTCGCCTAATTCCATAAATAAATCTTCAACTGCATTACCATTTATAGTTATATATACCTTTAACAAACAAAATTAAATAATTTCATTACATATGTATTTATTTACTTTATTTTGTTGATTTCTTAGAACACCTAATTTACCAAAACGAACATGAAATGGAGTACATCGAAGTGTTCCATCTTCTTGTTTAACGACAATAATATCAATTGCACCAGTAAGTGTGGACGGATTGATATTGTTGTAAGCCGACTTAAGCGACCCTTTAAGCGATCCAAATATACGCGTCAATGAAGTCATTTTGACTTCAATTTATTGTTAATAAATATAATACCATTTATAAGTGGTACTAAAAATGAATATACATAAAAATCATAAGATGTTGTTTTTTTTTTTTTTTTGTAAAAACAAAACAAAAAAAAAGGAAAGTAGCTGTACAAAAAACGATTATTTTAGACACGAAAGTAATATTTATACAATACAATTATTCATTGGTACACAAAAACATATTGCTTACTGCGTACATTTGTTTTTCATCTTTCTCGTTCGTACGAGTAAACGAAGAAAATACTATAAAAAAAATTATTAGTAGTCTCTTCATTCATGTTATCTATATATATATGCAAATAGATAAAGGAATGGATATATATACTAGAGGTTTGCATGTAGATATATTATATACCAGCGTCTATGATTGATTACATGTTTATGAATGGCGTCATTGTTTTTGTAGTTGCAATGAAAGAAAAGAAAGAACGGGAGAAGAAAAAAAAAGCAAAATGTGTTCTGCGCGTCAGCAGGCACACCCCTCGTTCTTTTTTTTGTTGTTTTTGTTTTCCGATGGTAGAAATAAAGCGCGTGATTCCTGGCGGTCAAATGTACCTCGTCATTAAAAACATACTGAGGAGGTGTGGATAGAATGGCGTGATTCATAAAAAACTATGCACAAAATACAAAGGTCTTTTACGATTTTGAAAATAAAAAAAATAAAAAACTAAGTGCGCAT